CTAGCTCTCCGATGAAGAGCAAGCAGAGAAGTCGAAAAAGATGAGCTGATTAAGTGAGCTCGTCATTCGCTGCACGTATAGTTATGATCAAGGGGGCAGATGATAAATTATTATGTAGTTGCTAGAGCTAACTAGAGCTAGGTGAGGAATGTCCTTTCCTGCAGTACTCAGTGGGTAGACCTATTCTATAAATTCATGGAGAAGCAGAAAATGGCGTCAACACCATTTTCGGCTTCTTCATAAATCGTATGCATCGCTGCAGTTGCTTGCAGTTGCAATAATTCATCAGAAAGAAAAGGCCTTGCAACGTTTGAATAATGCTGCCTCAAGATTTCCTAGTAATTGAACATTCCCCTGCATTGCAGTTTACCATTACCTTACTCACTTACGTCATTAAAACTACAAAAGACAGGAAATTGAGGGGAAGGCATTTTGTAGTATTATGGTAGTGTCAAAAGCATATATGCATAACATGTAGGTCTAGTTGATCACGTCACAATCGGGTGGGGGAGGGAGAGGGGGGGGAGTGTCTGGAAGGGCGTTACGAACCCGCCTCCGGCTGTCCTGTTTTACTAGTAGTGGCCGGATAGTGATCTGTTTAGAGAAAGACAGTCACGATTGTCTCTTTCGATACCCTTTGAACATCCCCCCCCCGACAGTGTCAATTGCATTTATAATGTCACCAATTGTAAATGTTCCTGTTAAGGACCGTTGCCTTGAAAAAGCACTGTCGCGGGGGAGGGGGAATTCCGAAGCATTTCTCCTTTAATGCATTGACAAGTGTAAAGGTTGCTTCGTTGCGGATTTCAGCGAAGAAATTTTCAAGTTGACCTAAGTGGACCACAATGTTGTGGTTATAGGGCTTCTGTCAACGAATATTCTCTCGCTCTAGGCACCAATTTATCGCTCTTTTGGTCACATTTGAAAGGAGAAGTGAAAGTGAGGGAGAAGAGAGAGTGAAGAGAGTAGAAGAACGATGGAGGAGGAAAAAGGTAAGTAGGCAGAGGGCTCTGCGGTGGACAAGTATCTCAAGACACGATATTGTCGTTGCGTAGCCACGTGGTTGTTTAAAGACAGCTCCCGCGCTCAAGTAGTATACATATTGTCTTTGTGGGCTTGAATATGTATTTGGCATCAAAATCGTTGCCATCATGTTTTTGAGGCTTTCCTAACTGAAGAGAGTTCTCTGCCTTTTCTGGATACTATTAACAAACACAGTACTAGGCGTTCACGTTCAAAAACAACTGTTTCGCTAGGTCTTCTTTCACGTGGTTGCCTAATACGAACTAGAGCTCTTTACAGGTGCCCATCAACCCCGTGTTCAATCTCACTACTTTGAGCGAACAGTTCGCCGTAAGTTTCTTAGGAAAAGGTGTTTACTCAATTTTTGCGCTAGCCAACTTTATCAATCAGCATGTCACCGCCTTCTTATTCATTTTTGATATCATTTTTGTTATGTCGTTTCCTTTCCACTTTTTCTATGCACTTGTTCTTATGCACTTACCTTGCGATCAGTATTCCTTTTTCCATGAGGTTCTGATAATAATAATAATATGCCTTTCTCAATTAATGAGATGAAACTAAAGGACATAACGTCTGTTCGTATGTAGTCAATTGCACTTTTAACAGTTGTTTTTATGGAAAAAAGAACAAACTATTTATTATTAAACGAATATGATCGCAATATTATAAGTTTCATTAACAATAAACATTTGATGTTTCTCAGTGCTCAGGATTTCTGCAACAATCAATATTTTAATTAGGCGCTTCAACTTCAACGGGTCATTCCACGCTGATCGAATGGGCGGAGCAAGGCGTGAGATTATTAGTTTCTCAAAGGGCCGGCTCTCAAGACGCTAAGGGCCACTGAAGGCGCGTCTGACACCACCCATACGATCAGCCTGGAATTTGCTCCAATAAGGGGTCACTCACGTTTCTCCGCTTCCCACCGGGAACAAACTTATCAGATGACTTATCCTGAATAGTAGTAGCATTTCAATGAGCCTAGGGATATAATGCCCCGGAGGGGTCACTGTTCGGGGGAAGCTACGCCACGTCATATCCGCTCGTCTCCACCCTCATGAAGAGATGGAATGACGTGGCTCGTATGGTACATTATGCTCACAATTATTGGGGACATTACTCAGGTGTTTATGAGGAATGATTGAATGGGTGAAGAATTCGATTTGAGAAAATCCGATAAAAAGACCTACCGCGTAGGTAACCATGCTTTTTTCTGTGTTCACAAGACCCTCTTCGGCCTGAAAAATTGATTCCGGAACAGCGTTGGGATCATGTGATGTGCAGAAAACTTCAGAGGATCGGAAAGAGGGTGAATTATAAAAGTAGGTTTCCTACCTGACAAGCGTAACACTCCCACCCAGTTTCGGCCAGACAATATCTACAATACGTGGCAGGGCATTCCACGCAAAAGTACAGATAAGCAGGTTTCATAATTTGCTGGAATAAAGATGAATTTTCCTGAGAAGTAGCCATCTACAAATTCAGGTATTTGAGCTGAAAATGTTACCGAGTTTTTTTAGGGTGAGGGGCGTTTAGGGGTGTAGTGAAGTAGCGCTACACTGCACCGAGATCGAGTCCTTTCTGAATATCATCTGGACTAAGGTGACTCCGAAAGCGCTAGATCGATGACAGTCAGTCAAGAATTGTATGAGACCAATCTCCATGCATATTTACTGCAGTTCTCAGGTGAGCCCAGTTTTAGCTCATATCAAAAGGAGACCGGTCGTCGCAGTTAACCCTAACTACACTCCCGTAGTAACACAGTCTAGGCTGGTAGTTGGGGCGGCACAGATTTCTTATGAGTCAACGCCCATACCATTGAGGTAGCCTGTGCCTTCAAGAAGTCTGCGGGTACGATCGACCAACATTTCGCCGTGATTGGAAATGTGCCCATGAAATTCAACTATGTCACTTTTGAAGGACCAAGTAGTACTTATACTCAGATGACTATGATCAAAATTAGGGCTCCAAGTGCTAGGTTTTCATGGACGGTGACTGTTCAGCTAGCTACATGACCGTTTTATCGTGCTAATTCTACCCACCTGGCACATAAGGCATTGACCGGTACGAAAGAGTCTATCGAGAATGTTACGCTTGAACCACGATTGGTACGAGAGCCATCCACTGAACGAGAAGTTAGAGTCACTGATCGCAATTGCACGACGTTGGCAGGATTCCTCCCTTGCACAAGGTGGGGCGGTTCGCAACCGCCCCACCTTGTTTAAGGAAGCAGCAGACTGTATAGGACTGTACTTTTCGCGACTCGAAAGTTTAAGATAAAAAGGCGACGACGTGCCATGGTCCCACTCCGCCCCGAGGTGGTTCTCCGCCCTTATCAACTCGTTTTTCCATTGCTACATAGCGGTGGGGTCTGAACCAGTGAATTACCCTCTTGGCATACCATTGTCTGCTTCTCACCCATGTCCAGTGCCTCTTTGCCATATGCACATACAGTGCTTAAAAGCAGCAGGAGTGTTATTCAAAGCGGTTCCAATAACATTTTTCTGATTTGCTCCTCATTGATGAATGCTTTTGAGCCCCATCCCCGCGAA